AAATTAAGCCAAATAAAATTATTATTTAACTTAGTAAACTTACTTTGAGACAGACTGCGTGGATGGAGGCTAAATGCATCTCAAGGCCGCCGTGGTGCGAGGCAAGACTATCGAGCTGGGATAGCAGGTCGAGACAGGCCTGTCGCAAAGTTACTACATGGTCGGATACGACAGTGATTGCGGCCTGTGGCATACCGGTTTGAGCAAAGGGAGAGGAGAGGGAATCGAGCTGGAAATAAAAATAGTAGATACGAAGAGAAGGAATATATTAAATCATATGACATTAAGACTAAGAGAAATTGAAATAAAACTCCCAAACGATAAATGATGAACCATAATTGCGGAAGCAATTTTGAAAATATATAAAATTGCTCACGAAATATCACGAGCTGCGCCTCATGCCTATTGCCCTTATGCACTACAGCCCTCATACGTTTATGAATAAGTCGGGATATAGGTTCTGTGCTATGTTAATCATAAGATCTTTACAAAGAAGTTTTGGTTTACACCTGTCAGCTTGCAGAATCTGGTTGCCTGAAGAAACCCGGGTGGCTCCACTCACGCAATTAAAGCACCTCAGTTGGCGTTCTTACGTCATATCCTCCCTGCCGACAAAGTTAAATAGAAATCAGGCAAATGCTTTTGCCCGTTTCAGACTCAAATTTTTCTCAAGAAAGCCACATTCAAGCATAGAAGGGACGTTGTTTGCCGTAGTTTCCGATCCACACAGCAGATACAGGACTAGAAATAATTAAAATCCATTATCGGCTAAATGGAATTGATCTCACGGAGGCAGTTCTGACACTAAATACTTCCGATATTAAACAGCTTAGATGACCCAAATGGTCAAGTTGCCAAATTTATTGTCCGGAAATCCTGAAAAGAAAGTCATCACACAATGGTGTGGCTACTTATGAATTGGCTGTATTAGTCCGGTATCCGAGGATTTTCAGACAGATTTACAATTGCATATAAATGTGATGGCAAAAAGGTTTCCTCCATAAATGCCTCAATCCAAACGGTATTTGATCATCGCCTAGACTCTTTCCCCTCCAGAATAATGTAAAAGTCTGTCATTTGACCTTGTACTTCGTAAGAGAAATTAGGTAAGGTAAATTAGTATGGTGTTTAAAAAAAGAGAAGATTTACTTAAAGTTTTAGGTACGAATTTTAGTGTATCTTACGACTCAGTGATCAGTCATCGTCTGTTATGTACTGTAGCCATCGAAGTAAAAAATAATTCTCAGACAAAATTGCCAAAAGAAGTGAAGAGTCAATTAACTTATATGTCTAAATAGAAATCCC